AGTCGCGTATAATCCCATTATTCCTGCAGAGTATTCTCTACAGCAGGAGTCGGCAATATACAAAGATGAAGACATCCAGGGCGCCAGCGTTCATCATTTATTTTTAATTTATGCACTCATAGTAAGTCCGATTTTTAATTGAAGTTTGATTCTTAATAATAAGACAATAATTAGGACTTTCAAACGATTAAAAATTAATCTAATTAATTAAAAGTTGTGTAACTTGTTTGTAGTTTTGTAATTATTAATAGAGTGAATCGAAATGAATCACATGTATCGTTATTTGCCGTGATAATTAAAAATACTCTAATTCAAATAGATTTTGGTAGATGAGTGCATCAATGATAATAAACTCAAACTTATGTAGCTAAATATCTTTATTTCCCATGCGCTCATAACCTTTTTTCTTTTTTCACTGTTCATATGCATGTAACAATGCATAAATAAAAATAAATAAAAACAGTTTTTATTAAAAATACTAATAGCGTTTTTGTGGTATTGAAGACCTTCAAGAAACTTTAGGCACTGAACAAGAGCGGGTCAAGCCTGGTTAAAACTTCTAAAGTCACGGTATACTGTTAACTCCCAACATGTCATGTGTACAGTCAGTCAGAAGGCTAAAATAGTTACAAAAGCCTCTTTTACCAACATTTTTTTCATCATATTTTCTGTCTCTGTTGCACTTTTCATACAAAAACCGTATGTTCAAACGAATTTCAAAATTGAATGTTTTAGTTTGGGCCGGTCTTACAGACACACAGACCAAGATACATACAGACACAGACTCAAACAGAAGTACTCCTATACACCAGTCGCTGATGTTGCAGCTGCGCTTGTCTCCGTCTTTCCCGCGTTGGATCCCTGTTACCTAAAAAAGTTACCTAGAAAAAATGAGTTCCCGCATGTTTTCAGAGTTGTGGTATCTGCTTGGTGCCGAAGTACTGGTCCTCCTTGAACTGGTATATGTGCTTCTAATGATTCCTTTCAAATATAAACTTGGCTCATGAAGGCAGGTGTGGGGGATCATTACCAGAAGGTCTGTACCAAAGCAACATCCCAGCATTTATTCTTTTTTATTATAAGAATGTGTCCAAAACCCGTTTCCCCAGACCGTAGCCTTTCTCTCTGACTGTCGGGACTAATAAAATGACTCTTGCTGCAGAACATTTCTTTTTTCTTTCTCCTGTTTCTGCCCGTGATCTGACTGGTTCGGATTTTATTTCAAGAAAATTGTAAACGTAAAAGGTTTTATTTGAGGCGTCTGGTGTCTGTCTGTCCAGCTGTAACTGTCGCTGTGTGTCTGTCTCTGTGTTTTTCTTCCTCCTCCTCTTTTCAGACCAACGATCTGATTCCTGGATTTGAGGAGTTTGAAGTTCAGGTAGATGCAGCTTAAATCTGTTGCTCTACAACAAAGACTGGACCACATCTCTTCATCTGCTTCAATGCACTTGCAATTTTTTGTATAAAAACGCATAAACCCAGAGCTCCGCTAACGTCACAGCAACACCACCCTTTGAAGCACGTACAAAATTACATAACATTAATAAAAGCTGCAAAGATAAGTCGATTAAACAGTTTTGGAATCATTGTAGTAATTTTTCTAGTAAAATTGGCAAACATCTGCTGGTTAAATAAGCAAAAATGTAATGTTTTTTCTTTGATTAATAAGATGCATTCAAAACCCAATATTTAGTTTACAATCATAAAACTAAATATTGGGTTTTGAATGCATCCTATAGACCCTTTTATTGGCAAAATAATAAACAATCATTAGTTGCAGCCCTGATATTAATCAATAATATTCATCCTGCATTTAATTTGTTGCAGACTCTGTTAACTGGATTGTGACGCAGCTGCATGTGTTTGACGTAAAGTCACTTTTGATTACTAAACAATGTAGTTCGTCCTTTACTTGAAAGCTGAAGTTCTCAGCACAAGTCGCTTACCTTTTGTATGTTCTCCACCCCCCCCCCCCTTTAAAAAAAACAGACACTTATTGAACAAGAATAACTGAAAAAGGTTTTCTTCTTCTCTTCCCAGATGAACGAGTATGCGGACGAAAACTGAGGAGTTTCTTCACTTCATCCATGTATTCACACTGCTCTTTCTTTGTTTCTTTAGAGGTCATAGGATCTCGGTTGATCATGCAATATGCTCTTGGTCATGTTGTGGGCCTTGAAAGTCTCCTTTTAACTTTGGATACAGATCAGTAAAGTAAGCAGTCACCTTGCAGGAACAACGGAGAAAGCAAAGCACCGTTTGGACTGCGTGAACATTACAGGGGGAGGTGGGGAATCATTCATTGTATATTTAAAAAGACAAAAGCCTCCACAGTGTGGCGCCGTAGAGTTGAAGGGGAGGCTAAGATACTGTATTTCAGATGTCACACTCCTTCTCAAGAGTACTAACTCGCTGGAAACTGAACACACAAACACGTTAATATCACTCAGTGTGACATAAACTCACACAGGATGTCATTATCTCCGATGTCCATCGTGAATACACGTCAACAAATCTGCTCAGAAATCAGAGGAAAAATACACGTCAGAACCTGAGAATCATCAGGTTTTTAAGTTTTTCTTCAGTACCAAAGTAATCTAGTCGTAGTTTACTGTACATCCAAGTGTCCTCTGCAAACAGGAGCTGCTTATGGCTAATTCAGCAAACTTTTAATGGTGCCGGTTTGCGTCACTTAGGTAAGCAAAGTTTATTTCTTGAGCGCACTTAAACACAGAGTTGCACCAAAGAGCCCAGAGAAACAGCAGGTAATGTTTTCTGGGGTTGGCGCTCCACACACATGGTTAAAATCTCCCCACCTCCCCTGAAGAAGTAAATCCAGTCCGACTGGGGCTTAAATCACGTTTCAACATCATCTGTCACTTTGATGTACGTCTGTCTCTTTTAATAAAATGTGAACTTTAAACTCCCCAGTAACTGTAAAACAGTGCAGTTTGAAGAATGTGATTCTGTATGTTTGTTAAAAGTTTGTTTCTGGGAAATTGTAGACATCTTCCTGTAGCAATCTGCCTGAGCTTTTTATTTAAGTTAGTGTATCTGCGTTTTTCATAAAGGTGATGTAACAGTGGGACAGCTGAGGCAATCAAACAACTTAAAGAGTTTTGTTTATTTCTGAAGAAACTTTCTGATGCTTATAAATCATGTAGAAATAAAAGTCCTTTTACTGGAGATCATCCCATGAAAGTCGGCTGTTTTTTCTAGTATCAAAAACTATTCACCATAAATGTTGTACGGATATAAAGTTCAGCCATCAGAATAATAATTAAAGTATTATGAGTGTAAAATTGTGGGTTTGAGTCTGACTTTTGTGTGTTTTTGTTGTATGAAAAGATACAATCAGCTGCAGCTCATTAAGACAACAGCTGGTTCAAACCTCAGTCTGTTTTATTCCTTTAAAAAAAAAAAAACATCACAGGATGCAGAGAAACCATCAGGATGAAGTTGTGCTAAGATGGTGAACATGACACCACAGTCAGCATTTAAGCATCATCGCTGCGATCACGTTAGCATCATGACTTTAGCGGTTAGCTCACAAGTTGTGGGTTCAAGGCTCGAGCACTCTTTATGTTTTAACAACTAACATCCCGGTTGAAGTATTGGACAAATTACAACAGGGTTGTATAACAAGATGCAGTTTCTAGTTCCATTTATGCTACAAAGCAAACGATACATGCAGAAATAAAACTATTTTGCATGGTGCAGTGCTGAAGATGAATTTAGGAGATGGGTACCAACGACCTTCTGATTTCCAGTCAGGGTGCTTTCAGTTGCTCCTCTGTAAAACTTAACGAGACAAGACTCAATGAAGTCTCTGAAGACCAACAGCTCAGACAGACTGTAAGATTGAGGGTTCGATCCTCAGTTAGTCTTTATGTGGTCGAAACAACATGTTTGTGCAGGTGAAGCAGGTGCACGACTGACCAGAAGAAGTTTAGGGTTCAATTCTCACTCTTGTTAATATGAATGACTTTTGAAGTCGGATGTCCAAAGGCTGAAGTCAACGGTTCAGAAATGTTTCAGATTAAGTAGCTCAGTGAGAACTAGTTTGAAGTTTTGAGGTTGTGGGTTCGATCCTTGGATAACATTACTGATTTTGAGGGCCAACACCCAGATGAAAGAGTGAAAAGCTTAAATAATGATCCCAGTGGCTCAGCGTGTTAGAAGCCTTTTCAGGTATTTTGAGTCTCCAGGTTCGATTCTCACTCTCAGCGATGACTTTAGAAGTTGGCGCTCTAAAAGAAAGGGAAAAGCTCTAAGAAAGAAAAGGTATGTGTTTCAGATCAAGTAGCTCAGTGTGTTGAAAGACTGATCAGAAGTTCTGATGGTTGTTGGTTCAAGTCTTATATTACCTTATGAAAGACTACAAAGCTTAAATAACGTTAAGTTCAGTATCTCTGACCCAGTGCCTCAGGGTGTTCGATGCCTTAACAGGTGTTTTGCGATATGTGGGTTCAATCCTCTCGCATATCATGACTTTAAGAGTAAGATGTCCAAAAAGAAGAAGTGAAAAGCTCTAAGAAAGACAGACAGAGTGTCTCAGATCAAATAGCTCAGTGTGTTAGAAGTCTGGTCAGAAGCTCTGAGGTTCTGGGTTTGATCCTTGTAAGTGTCAGTGAATTTTGAAGGAAAACACCCAAAGTGAGAAGATAAAAGTTCCCGGAGAAAAGGTTAAAAGGCGAAGGGAATCAGTGGCGCGGTGGGGTTTGATGGCGACTGCAAGGCACCAACGGTGCAGCGGTGGTTTGAATCCTGCCCGTTGCTGGTACCTGGAGCTGATCCTGCGGGAGAGGGAGGGGGCCGTGTCCCCTCCCGGTGTTTCAGAGAGCTAGAAGCCGGGGGTTATGGAACAGAAAACAAAGGCTGCCTGAAATTTTACTTCATGTTGCTGATAGCAATATTTAGTGATTTAGACATTCATGTCCAGAGAGAAGAAACAAGCTCAAGACTGTAAACAATAAAACATTTAAATTAACAAACACTACTTGACTTTAATACCTTTTATTAAATGTTTGATCTGTGAATAAATATCTGAACTGCTGCGACACTCAGGAACTGAAGCAGCATACAAACACATGAAGAAGAAAAAGAACGACACCAAAACACGTTACATTCAGAATACTTCAGTCACAGCTGCAAACAGAGACCACTTCATATCACAGGCGGGTCGGGATCACTTCGTCCTCATGTTGCTTCTTAAAATATTGCAGTTTTTAGGTACAGTTTTGTGCTTCTTTTCAGTCACCTTCACATTAAAAAAGCGATCTCAAACAAACTGCATGAACTGATCCCAACCTGAGGGATACAAACCTCTCTCAGGGCACTGAATTTCAACTAAATTTGGATTGTGGATTGTTAATATCGCAGACATGTTGATTGCACTGGTTTCAGTTTGTCTGTACGGAAAACAACATCTGGAATAGATCTGCATAAACGAAACAAAGAACAATCCGCTGGCATTAGAAAAGCTCCTTCTGTTGTGGACTGGACCTTCCTGAGTGTTTACATACAAACCATCATCATTCATGTGATACAATACAGTCAACGCACTCCCCGCAAAAATCTTTAGATTGACAGCAATGAAAATGAACAGGGGTGTTACAGCATGACGTTGTGCACTCAAAATAAATATATTTTAGTTTCTTAAAGTGGCAGAAGTCGGATTTTTTGTGTAGTTATCCAAGGGAGGTTAAAATCAAGGGCAACTGGACTTGGTTAAAGAGACTCCCTTCCCCTGTTTAGTGATGGTTTCTCTATTCGGATGTAAAAGGCCTCTTTCACTAGGGTCACTATTTCCATGACAACAATATTTTGGACATGCAGGACAGATGGGTTGAAAGAGGACATTTACACCATAAAAGAGAAACCATCACTAAACAGGGGAGGAGGGTGTGAGACACCACTTATACATTTAGAAAGGCTGTGTCAAGCTTAATCAGTTGTTTTAATGTTACTATTGGACTTAATTTAGATGTTTTATTGGAGCTACATGGATGTTTAAACATCTACGGCTGTATCATTCAATCAAATAGAAATATTCTAAAAAAACAAACCATAAAAGTATAAAACAAACTTCTATTCTAATCTTTTGTTGGATGTTTACAGTAATTCACTGCTGGCAGTGTCATACATGATATCTTTCAACAGTCAGGAGACAACAAACAACCTGAACTTTGGCCTTTTGACTTGCTTACATTATTTCCTTATGTTATGACAAAAAAACAAAAAAACAAAAAAAATAATGCAGAGTGAAAAATAAAAGTCCAGTTTTTGGGGGGTAAAAAAAAAAAAAGGAAAAACTGTAGTTACATAGCAGCAAAACAAAAAGCTTTTAACTTATAAAGGCTGAATATTGAAGTTTAAATAAACAAGCATGTAAATAATAATTAAAATGTCAGATTTAAAATTGAAACATTGACCGTGTGTTTGTGAAACCTACCTCACACGCCTCGTGCTGATCAAACTACAAATATACACCTGTACGTATTTACACACACACACACACACACACACACACACACCATGTTGTGATGAAGATGCGAGACTCCAGATTACATTTGCTACCTTCTGTTACAGCTTTTCAGAATAAAAATAGTTGAAAGTAAATAACAGGGTCCATCGACTCACCAAATAAAGTCAAAATACAGAAGGAGAAATCAAATAAAAATATTTCCCCCCCAGTCACAGTACACACAGTATTACAATACAACAACGTCTAATAACACGAGCTTTTACACTGGAGGGATGGTGGGGGGCTGTTTAGTTTCATCTAAGGTTTTTTTTCCCCCTCCACGGTACGGTTTATTGTCTGGGTTGATTTAATGTTCTTAACTGTTTCTATGTGTGGATGTTTCTCCCCTCCGAGAATCCTGTCCAGCTTGATTTGAGTGATTTCTTACACAAAAACCGTTCCCTTCAGGCGTTTTCCTGTCAGAGCATCCCGTCCAGGTTCTTCTCTGCGCTCTGCTTGTCGGTGGTGGTGGGTTCCTGAGGGCTGTACTGGGTGTGGTAGTCGCGGAGGATGGTGACCACGTCGTGGTGGCCGAAGTGAACCGCTTCGTCCATGGGTGTGTTCCCCCACCTGCAGCAGAGGGAGCAGTCAGAAGAGTGCTGGCAGCCATGTTGGAGGTCCGCTACGTTAAACTATTCATATAAGTTAATAAAATTGGTATAACTGTAAGTAAAGATCATTTTTATCATAAATTAATCTGGCAAGTACTTTTTTTTTGTTTAAATTAACACCTTTAGTCTATAAAATGATGTTCCCGCTTCCTACAGAGGGAGGTGATGCTTTGTTTTGTCTGACCAGCAGCCAAAAACACAAAGATATTTAATTTACAATGATATAAAACAGAACAGCAACAAATATTAAACATCTAAGAGGCTGAAACCAAAGAATGTTTGACATTTTGTTTGATAAATGACTTTAACAAGTAACTGATTATTAAAATAATCAGAATTAGAATTACTTATGTCGCCAGCAACTAACTGACCTTTTGTTTTTAACAATATACTGAGGTCAGCTGTCTTCCTGCTTAAGCGTCACTCAGATAAGTTTGGTGGTGGCTGAATTTTACCTGTCTTTGGGAACTGGGTTGACTTTACAGGCCTCCAGCAGGAAGCGAACCACCTCAGCGTGTCCTGAAAAACACAGACACACACGCACGAACATCAGCTCCACACACTCACTGATCAACACTGACGACTTATCAATAAATTGACAATGACCTCCTCGGCGTTTTACCTTCAGCCGCGGCGACATGCAGGGCCGTCCTGGAGTCGTAGTCCCTCTGCTCCATGTCCATGGAGGACAACGCAAACCTAGACAAACAAGCGACAAACGTTGATTCAAGAAAATTAATATTAGAGCGACAACAAAAAAATGCTTCCTAAAAATCACACAGATGGAAGAAACTGAAGTCCTTTTTACTTTTGCCACTTTTTAAATCTAAATATTTTACTCTTGAAGAAAGAAAACCACACGGAGTAAAGAGTCGTGTTACCTCCTCAGCGCCGAGACGTCTCCAGTGTAAGCAGCAAACAGCAGATTGATCACTGACTTCACCTGAAACACGGAGAAGAAGACAGCTGACAGCAAACTGGAAGCCATAACAAATTCTCCTCTTATTTGACGTTCATTAGTCGCTCATGCAACAAGAGTCAAGTGCAAATCTGACATTTTAGGAATGAGGGAATAAAAATGTTCATTCATTCATTCAACGCTGGCGATTCAGTTATTTTCCACCAGATGGCGCTTACAATTAAAATCCTTCACACAAGGTCAAACAGCATCCAGCACACAGCGGGAGGATGTGACGCAGACGGTCTGAAAAATGTTTCACTGCCTGGCAATTTAGACTAAAAATAAACCTCAACAAGAGGAGAATAAGAGTGTAACCAGTCGCATGGTTAGAGGATGGGGGGAGTTTGAAGGAGGATGGATAGAAGCTGACGAAGGAGCGTTTTGCTGGGACTCACCCTCTGGTCTCCTCCCTCCCGGCGAGGATCCAGTTTCTTAGCAAAGTGTCTCAGGTTATCGTAGTTGTGAAAGTTACAGAGGGACACCAGGTCCTGAAAGGCAAGAAGAACCTGCTTATTTACACAAATACACTCTGTCCACGCGGGACAGACGAGCTTTAGAGGGCTGTAATGCTCAGTTTGTCGACATATTCACGGGAATGAAGCCTTTTTAACACCATTTCCACCAAACATCAGGTCTCGACCGCAGCTCAAGTAGATAAAAGTGTCTGTTTTTTTTGGCCTCAGCATCTGGACGTGAAAGTTGTGCCTGTGATGTAACACAGAGCATCTGTCCAGACACTCATGTGGGGTGAATAGTCTTCCATCAAAGTACTACCAGGCTTTTGTAGTGTACCTTTTTATGGTTTTTAGATAATATTCTGTAAATTCTTCAAATATAAACCCTAACGACTAGTTAAAATAAATTAAAACAGAACAGAACAAGCATTTGTCAGTAATTGTACAATGTAAATAGTCCAAAATAAAATTACAACTAAAACAATTAGTGAACTTATGCAACTATTTTGATTAAGATTAATTATCCACGTTGGTTTTAAATAGTAGAAATACCCAATGTTTTCTGGTTCCCAGTCTCAAATATAAATACTCGCTAGTCGTCTTGGACTTCTATGATGAGTGGAACATCTTTGGGCTTTAGACTAGAAGGTGATTTGGGAGTGGATTTTCCCACTCCAACAAAAATACTTAATACCGTCTCATCCCCGAGAAAATAAATGAAAGAAAATCAGAAAATAGGGTTTATTCATATTAAAACTGCCTTTTTCTACCTAAAAACTGATCTATGATTCCCGTCCTGCCTGTCCCGTACCAGTCCTGTGATGAACAGTGAAAACAACGTCCTGTCCCACAGGAAAATACTACTTCTGCTACAAAATAAGACCCCTGGAGACGCCACCTTGGGCTCTGGGGAACCAGTTGGAAGTTAAATTCTGCGGTTACCGTGCAGAACTGGATGCCTCTGACGCTGTTGCCCAGCTTGTCGAGCGGAGGAGACCAACACATGATGCCCATCACGTTTGGAACAACCAGCAGGATCCCGCCAGCGACACCGGATTTAGCCGGCAGCCCGACCTGAAACAGAAAGACGAGGACGTGTTATCAGAACTCCCACATGCTTATTGGTCAAGAGGAGCGTGGTAGGTGTTTGATGAAGGAGACACTGACGTGGAAAGCGAACTGTCCGGAGAAGTCGTACATGCCGCAGGAGTGCATCAGACTCAGCGTGTTTCGCACCGCCTCGGGGCTCAGCACTCGCTCTCCCGTGATCGGGCAGAAGCCGCCGTTGGCCAGCGTAGCCGCCATGACGCTGGCGCTCTCACAGGTCACCTCGATGGAGCACAACTGATGGAGAATACATAAATATTTTAAATGCTACAAGAGGCTGTTCTTGTTTAACACGCTACTGCGGCTTTAGCTTCTTCTTGCTACTTTTTAATAGTTATTTTACAGAAAAAGGTGTGTTTTGCATTTACCTGAAAATAGAAGTCGAGGATGGAGGTCATGTCTGTCCCCTCTGGAAAACACTGAAGGAAGAACAACATTGTCAACCTGTCTGAATCCTGTGGAATCACTGCTTTACAAGGCAAAATTACAGAGCAGAGCAGTTAGCGGCTACAGTTAGAAAACAAAAGGAATGTCAAATAGAGCCCACGGAAGCATATTAACTTCAAAAACTTGAAATAAATGTATGTAAAGTGAACAATTTTAAAGGTTTGTCTTGATTATTTTTACTTTATCAGTTTATAAAAGTGCAGTTGTCCAAAAATTACCATTAAGTGATTTATGCACCTTGTGAGTTTAGAGAAAAAAGAAATCTAACAAAGTCTGTTTCAGAGAAATAAAACCAGCTGCTGCACCGTGAGGAGGTTTCTCTCAGCTGTAGAAGACCTTTGACCTCACCTTCTTCTCCTTCAGGTAGTAGCCGATGGCAAAGTTTCTGTCTCCAGACTCTCGCTCCGACTGGAAACTGGGACACAGAGAGAGAGAGAGAGAGAGGGAGGAGGTTTGTTTGTCTTTAAACACCACGACTCAGCTCATGTTATATAAAACTCAAACTTTCCAACTGGAACAGTTTTCGTGACCTCAAATTCAACTCGGTGATGCAGGACTGTCCTTCACATCTCTGAGACTTCAGCTTTAAATATTCACTGCTTATACTAAAATCAATAAAACATCTGTGTTTTTGATCTGTAGTGTTCAGCATATTCCTGTAGCTGTACTCACGTGGCGTTGCTGAAGCCAACGTACTCGTTTCCTGCCAGTTTGTTCATGAAGTTCATGACCTGCAGAGCAGAGCAGCAGATTTCGAGTAAAGGATCCACCAATAAACCAAATTATACTTTACACATAATGCATCCCATTAAGGAAGCAACCATTTTCCAATTTTAATGGAATTTAAACCCATTTTCGAATTAATTGCCAACTTTTTAAAATAAATTAAAGCAAAAACACCCCAAATAAACAGTATATATGGTTTCTCAGATGTGAATATTTGCCGGTTTTCTTGACATGAAACTGAAGATCTTAAGGTTTTGGGCAGCTGGACAGTATTATTCACTTTATCTCACATTTTATAGACCAAATGAGAAACCGATTTATCAAGAAATAATTGGTAAATTCATCCATAATGAAAATAATTACTAATTGCAACTTGGCACAAAGTTACAAAACTTCACTTTGGAAACTTAATTTCCAAAAATAACACGTTAACATTAAGAGAGAGACACTCACAACAACACACTAATACTCACATAATCAAATTTTTCAGCGTTGCTTGCCCCTTGCTGAAACACAAACAGAACAATCAGAATATTAAAAACAGCTTCTCTGCATTTTAAATCGAACATCAAACTGACACCGACACTAAAAGTTACCCATGTCAAGACAGTAGCACTGTTATGTATGATCCATTTCTCTATGGTTTAAGTTTACATCACTACTGGTTTTAAAATTAAAAAGTTGAGCTCATCCGTTATGTGACCAATCAAACCAATCAATGAATTAAGATTAGAGGTGGGCGACTAGCTGGAGATGGAGGAGATGAAAGAAAACAGTTAATCCATTCAGGGTTTCTGGTTTTGTAAAAGAACAGAAAAAAAGAGAAATGTGTTTATTTTGAATTAAACTTGTTTTATCAAGGTAAAGTAACTACAGTTGAGTTAGGTGGAGGTGTAACTATCGATTGGCATACAGTGAGTCTACAGGTGTGTTTATTGTCTGAAGCCGTGGCTGGTGAGTTAGTTTACTTCCCTTTAAAGGTGCATTTACACTGCGAGCCACATGACAAACAAGTCACAGGACTTCTTAAAAAAGGGGCACTCCACCAAATTTCACACGCCAAAGTCAATCTACTCGTCATGTTGAGACTACTCAGCCTGGGGAAACATCTGTATGGGCGCTTCTCAAGTCTCTTAATTGCGTCCGTGCTTCCCTCACTTGCTTCTTTTCCTGTAACTAAGCCAGGAGAGAAGGAACGAGGAAAAGACGTTTTTAGAGACATGCGATGTCTGTTTCTGATGACGGCGGCAGCTGATGACAGCTGGATCAGCTGTCGGTCGGCTCTAACAGCTGGAGAGACTTTTGATGGAGTTTCTGCACACATGTGCACTGTGTTGGTACTAATAAAGTCTGACAGTTCTCAGTGCAGAGCAGCATGATTCCCTGTTACCTGCACATGAAAAACTATAGCTTATGGTAAGGTATGTCCTGCTCAGAGGCACAGGATCATTTCTACTGGCACAACACTCACATTATCTGCATTTATATTTATTGATTCTGATTGAATAACCCAGAATATCATCACGGTGTCTTGGGATTTATTGGCCTAAATGTTTCAGGGAAAATGAAACGATGTAACTTGTATCAAAGTTGACGCTCAGTTTTTGGCTTTCCGTTTATTTCCTATTTCCTGATATCCATTAACACTACTGCATAGGCCTACATTTTATTTGCAAGTCACATCCGTCTTCCCCGATCATCGCTGCGTTCAATACAGCGTTTTCTTTTTAGCGCAGCAGCTTTCATCAGCTGATTTTACTCGTGGAGCTTTGGTTGTTCAGACCTACAATGAACACAAGACAGTGAATCACAGAACAACTCAAATATAGTTTGCTGTTTGTTGCACTATAGAACATTTTTTAGAGCTTCGCACATATTAAGGATTAAAAGTCAAAATATTTCGATTTCTGTTGCTTCAACTTCGGCAATAATTTTTTGTGTCGTCTTGGGATTCCCACAAATATAGTGAAGTACCGCACTAAATCACTGGATTGTCTCTTTAAATCAATAATTAGGTTTGTGCTCGTTATCAAAAACTAAGAGTCTACAGCTGTGCTATGCCAGCTGCTGTGTGAGACGCTACTGAGGCGCTAACATGCTGATGGAAATGTCCTTAGAAACTTTGACCTGATGATGGCGCTAAAGTTAGGCCAATTCATCCTGAGGGGAACATAAATGGCTGAACCAAATATCATCCGGTAGCTGTTGAGATTGGAGCTGCATTTTGTTTTGTCAACTATTAATTTACTATTTTGATAATCGATTAATCGCTTTGAGTGCTTTTTTAAAGAAAAAAAACTTCCTAATTCTCTGATTCCAGCTTCTTAAATGTGAATATTTTCTGGTTTCTTTGCTCCTTTATGACAGTAAACTGAATATCTTTTGGGTTGTGGACAAAACAAGACATTTGAGGACGCTTTAGGAAACAGTGTTTGACATTTAGACCAATTTTCTGACATTTCATAGACAAACAATTGTTTAATTAAACAGATTAATTGACAATAAAAATCATTAAGAGGATCGACCGTCCAAGTATACAGACGTATGCAAATATTATCCCCTCTATTAAAGATAGGTGATAAGACTGAAATCAAAATTGTTATATTAGAATATTTTCTAGATAGATATGGCAGATTACAAATAAAATGATATATTTTTAATGCAACAAATAACAGCGTGCTCCTCCTGCTACAGATTTGATTGGACAAGGATCTTCAGATGTATTAGACTAAAACTCAATGTTTGAAATAATAAATTTAGAGATAAACATTATAGGACTTTGCTGCTAATTGTAGGAGTTAATTATGGCCACTCATCATGCCATGTAGCTTGCAGTGTAAACACACATGGGTTGGGTTGGGTTGGGTTTTATCACTACTGTGGCCGAGGGACAAAACTGATGTTCTGGCTTAAGTTGTCTGTACTGACTGCTAAAGACTGGATATAAACAAAAAACAAAGAGGTCCTTTTTTAAGTAAGAATGGAGCATGTGGTTGAGTTGTGCCAGAGCTGTTTATAATCCAGACGTATAAACAGTTTTGGAGAATGCAGGTGAATAAAACTATAAAAGCAACATTTAAAACATTCATTAAAAACAGCCATGTGAAGGCTAAAAGCTCGTCACAAATCCAGACAAAAGAGGGGAGAAAATAATTAAAAAGGAAAAATTACCAACGTCATTGACCTGTTGCAGTGGTCATAATATCCCAAAGATCCTACTGCTGTAAAATATGCAACAACACATAAAACCACACAACGAGCCTTGAAAAGGTACATTGCAAATGAGTGTATTTGAAGTGTAGATCTAGATTCAGAGAGAGGAGGGGGAGAGGGGGGCATGCACAGAACCTGGTTTTATTATTCGGGTCAATGGATATGATAAAATCCAACCTTCAGCTACAGACACGTCAACTGTGAAAACAACGGTTTCATTTCATACGGGAATGATCGACAGAAGATTCAAGAATTCTCTGCTACACTTTCATATTGCTGATAAAACTTCAAAATCCCTAAAGAAACATTTTCTAATCTTGAGTGTTCAAATGTATTTTCCATTCCCATTTGATGTGAACACAACAGAAGACACAGCCGGGGTCATGTAAAATAAAAGAAAAAACAACAGCAACACGATTCTGTGGTGTTTTTGTGCGTTTTAAGCCCTTTTAATTAAATCCTTTAGAGTTTCTTGCTACAAGCTAACATGTGCTGTTTGGTTTTACTCTTGAAATCCATCAGGCCAGTGAAGAATAGAGTAACTAGCTGACAGAGAAACAGCTTTATTGTGAGGTAACATTTCTATCCTGACAGTTTGTCTTGAGAATGTGGGTGACGACGTTTGTTTAGCGGCATTTTTGAAGCTCTTGTGCTACGCGTTTCTGGTACGTCATGTAGTTATGTTGAGTGTAGGGGAGACCGGGGGCAATTGTAACATTGTTTACATTTTCCTTAATAACTCACAGACTACTTGAGATACACTAGTCTTCTTTTGATACAAGAAACGAAAAAATATACGTGCACTAATTAATGATACAATTGGTATACTTTCACTTAGAAGAACAAGACTAAAATATTTAATTAAATGCAAGAAGTCAGAGTGCTGGGGGCAATTGTAACACAGCAAAATATGTCATATTAACCTCAAAGTCATTACTGCTAATGTTACTGAAGAGTTTTTTTATATGGTTCAAATTATTTTAGATGTCAGGCATCTTCTGCTAAATTCTCTATTCTAATTTCATAACATTGCTTTTCACGAGTGAACTAGTCATTCTCTTTGGTTTTGCTGGGTCTTCCACCCTACAGACAGGCTGACAATGAAAGGAACTTCACTTTTGCAGACTTAGGCGTATATAACATTCACACTTTCTGTTAAACAGACATAAATTGGCATTTAAAATGTTAATTGATGATTTTGTTTATACTAGAACAAATCAATTTCTTTTAATACACCCTTTTTGTGTAGTAAATGTTCACTTTCTAACAAAAGTATGTCAAAACAGACAAACAACATTGCTGCTTACATTGGGCCATGTGGCTTGGAACATAAAATCTTGTATGCCCGCTAGCCACAACTATATTAGCACAGTTTGTTAGTGTTAATCAATAACCTATGTTAGTTTAAATTTGCAGTCGTCTAAACTTTAGACACCAGAAGAGAAATACTGTACATCCAAAAAGCTACTTTCATTCCTCAAAATCAGTATTTAAGGTGAAATGATCCTGCTCCTTTTCCGCAGGCAGAGAGAGAATCCTATGGAGCGTGTGCAGATTAAGGGTCATCACTCTAGCTTGTTCCTTAAATTGTTACAACTGCCCCCGGTTTCCTGCGACACGCCCGCTGAAAGTATTTACACTTTGAGCAGCCACATGAAAAAGCTGCCCCTGTTCATCATCATCATTGGCAGCTCTAGTTTAAGATTTCTTCCCACTCTGAGCAACGTATGTATGTAAGATCACTACATGGAAACAATCAGGACTGGATGGGAATACAAGGCAACTTTGTTGTGTGTGTGAAGGGACACTACAGTATGGCCAATGCTTTAAATAATGCTTAAAAGAACCCAAACATTTCCAGAGACTGTTTCTATTTGACTTGTGAGCTCCCTGAAGAGAGGCAAGAAGTATCTGATGTTCTCCTCAATGAAAATAGCACTGCCTTTGGCATTCAGGTGACTGCAGCAGCTAGATTAATAGCACAAGGGAGGGTCACAAGTGTGACAGTGTAATTAAACCGCTCGTCATGATCCTCACTGGCCTATCGAGGTGGGACAGTTTCAGTTTCTTAATCTTAAATCAGCAGGTGGGGCTCTTGTGTCTGTCTGGAGGTCAGAGGAGGATATTTAATGAAACGTTCAGGAGGTTTCTCTGACTGAAGCTGGTAATGTGGTGGAGCTGACCTGGCCGCCCCCATCTCCGCCCACACTGTAAACTGTGTGTATGTGTGTGTGCGCAGGATATCTGATGCTGCTTTCAACCAAATCCCCTTTCAGCGTGATTATCTATAACCTTAATCTCCCTGTATACAGTAATCTGCCGCAAACAAGTTCTCCAGGCGATTATAATTTGTACAGTTAGAAATTCTGAATTCAGTTGTCAAAGGACATCTGTGAAGCATCTGCATTTTAAAATATAAAAAATGACAAATATGAGGCTTATAACTTAAATCACCTAGTTAAATTTATTCGTTTGTATTTGAGCTGATCAGATGTATGTACGTGCAATTTACCTTAATGAGGGAGGTACAGACGATAGCGCCAGCATTAACCATGGGGTTGTGTGGTTTATCTGTAGGAGAGAAAATAAAGGTTTGGATCAGCAACGTACACAAAATAAATGTTAACAAACTGGATAACCAGCAACCTGGAAAAATAAATTATATCAGTTTATTTTTTGAAAAAAGTCTATAGTACAAACTAAAAAAACGTCAAAACACATCTGAATAATCTGAGTGATCAACATGACGAGGTAACTACACAATATCATAACACACACTCACACCAACTAACATGCAGTAATACACCACTTCCCCTCTGTGTTTTAATCTTCTTATGCAACAAGCCAGGACATTGTTTTAAAAAAAAAAAAACTAACATCTAAAAATAAACAGCTGGAATATTTTGGTTGCCAGCGAGTCCTTTGCTTTGTTAGAAAACAACAGAGGAAACCGGAAACTTTCTCACACCAGAGTCTATCTACATTTTCCAGCACAAAACAGTATTTTTTCTGATGATTCATTTCTGGTGATTCTCCAGGATTTAAATGAGTTTTGCAAAACAGCGGCCTACATTTTGTTAGACTTAGATTAATGAAACATTTAGTTAAATTTACAGAAAGACTTTGTGTTTATGGTTAAATATTGAAAAGTCAGCATGTATAAACAGCAGATATGTTTGCTTTGCTATGTTAATGTGTTGTGATAAGCTAGTTTGAATGGAGGCTGCAGACAAAAAAAAACAACAACTATATTTATATAGATTTATGTTTACTGTTGTTGCGCAGCTCGTCACCAAAACAAAAACAAAACCTCGTTTGTGTCTCAGAAACAAAGCTATTTTTGACCAAATCTAGACAGAGTAGAGTTAGATGAGTTAGGGTTTGTTTAAATGGACCATCCATGAGTGTGATAATGTTAGTGGGGGTGAAACACTAAATGGCTGGAGCGCTCTTTTAAAGCCCGAAACGAAAACGGACTGGTGGTGTATTTTGTTCCCTTTAAATATCTGGGCTAACTAAGATCCCGCTGTCATCACTATAGCATGCGCAGTGCTTACAATCTCAATTAGACCTGACCCATCCTTGAAAACTTTTAGGCAAAGATTTATACTGATAAGAATTACTTTGGTGGTTTTTATTTATTTAAATGCCTTTTCAGGAATCTCCTACTATGGAACAGAAATGTAGACTTTGTGATAAATATCGTCATATCAGTTGACACCAAAAAAAGAGATCCCGTTCATAGTTTGCCATACATACACAATAAATCTCTAGTGCTCCTGCCTCCTCTCCTCAGTACATTTCAGACCTGTGGGAAACTGGATGTCTTTGGCTGAACAGACAGAGTCTTATTGTCTCTGCTGCTCAGCTCTGGCTGGTTTTATAGAGCCACATGCCAGCAGCTGGTTGCATTTCCAGGTTAAGTCTATTTTACACACTGGCCACTCTGTTTTTATTCTGCTGTGGTGCTGTAACCTCTCATTAACAATTTATTACAGTTCCATGGCAACAAGGCGGTGAGATGGCCCCTCTTACGGTGAGTGCAGGAGCCTGGAGTTCACAGCTGGCTGAACAAACACAGAGGGTGAGTGGATGGTATATTTCAGATATGGACTCATTGTTTCCTCACCCTCCTCGTTCAGGAAGAGCTTGTTGAATCGCAGACCGCTGGGCTCTTTGCCGATGAAGCGGTGCACGTACTCGGTGCCGTGGTCGTGAACGGCGATGGCGTACTTCAGCGGCTTAACGCAGGACTGCAGACAGAAAGGAACCTTGGTGTCGCCAACAGTGTGCCTGAGGAAGTGACGCGCAGATATTTGTTTACACACGTGCCTTTGCAGAAGGTTTACATTTTTCGTACGCAACTATACTCGCAACTCGCTGAACATGCAAAAAACAACAGCTTTAATAACAATTCAGTTGTACCTCTGTCCATCGACGGTGCACAGGGCGACGGCCCACAGGTCCGGGCTGAAGCGAGCCAGCTGAGGAATGTAGTCTGCCACCTACAGCATCAAATAACACACATTGTTCCAGTCAGAAATATCTCACGTTTATATGACAGACGATGCACAACTAGTTCCAAATACTGCCAGTGAATGTAAATTTAACACAAGCAGACTGTAGCAGCAGAGGTCTCTGTTTATCATTTTATCTTTGCAACAACCTGGCCAGCAGCCCTCACTCACCTGCCCTCCGGACATGTTTTTGGCGTTCTCATAGAGCTCGTCGATGTGTGCGGAGAAGGACTGGAAGTCTGGGATGACAAACTTCTTCCTGAAGGCCTGGGTGAGCAGGACAATGTTGCTCTGGACACATCTAAGACAGGAGAGAAGACAAGAGTTCAGGCCTCCAGTTAGTCTACAGCCACGACTCAGGGGAGCAGTCTCTGCTGGTGTTTGTGCTAACATGCTTATCAGATATCAGATGAATGTTTCCTGAAGAAACAAGCACAACATGAACCCTTAAACTTTGACCTGAAGACAGAAAAGCTGATGTAAGCCGGGCAAGTGTAAGACTTGTTAGCTGGAGCGTGTTTTCTGATCAATAGTGGGAAAAGTTAACTCATCCATTGTCTTCGGTCTTCCTGGTTATTATGAAGAGGGTCTTAACCACAATTCTTCATTTCTATGGACAGGTGATTAATAATTCACTTGTTTGATGGTTAAATGCCTGATAAATCTGATAGTTCAGTGTCATAAATATCTCTTTTCTAAATGACTCAGCTTGATGGGAGGATTTCTGCACCTTTGATTAACCAAACTGAGACCTGAATTCTCCTCAGTCTGGTCAGGGGTTTCCAGATGTTGTCCTGATCCTTTTTAATTGAGAGATTTAGGACTACAGAGAGTAAACACATGACTCTACGTAGTAAGGCGGTGAGGTGGAAGCTCTGGTAGCAGGGAGATTTGTGGCTCAGCTATCTCAATGCATCAAACCCTGTCTAATCCCTGTAGCATTGGATTCCTGCAGAGAAAACACACGCTGCACTCTACCACCTGCTCACGTGCTTCCCCCTGTGAGGTTGAGCTCTATAAATAAGCCCGGGGAGCGGAAGTGATGGATGCCAGCCAGGCGCGGCTGTGCCGGGGCCTGTTCGGTGAGGATTCAGCTCCCTGGTGAGCCGTCATATGTCCCGACACGCAACGCGCAGCTACCCAAGCTGTCACCCAATATCGTCTCAGCATCGTTTCTTCTAGGGAGGGGGGGGTTCCAGTTGTGGTTTTACAGCTACTTCTGGGGCTATTTGATTATTGTATAAATAAACAATGTGCTGCTTGTCTTAGTGTCATAAAAATGTACATTTCATTTAGTTATGGTGACTTTTTTTTTTTTTTTTTTACGTCTGTGTTTAAAATAACTAAAGTAACTCTGCTGATTTTACACATCAAAGTCTGTTGAAATGTCTTGAGGAGCTGATTGCACACGCTTTAAAGCCTTTAGTGTCTCCGGAGAGAGCTGTGTGAAGTCTGATAAATGTCCTCAAGTGACGTCACCTGAGTCAGCGTCCACTAACAGTATGAAAATGAAAACGACTCATCTTAGAATATCTTTAACAGATTTAATGGTTTAAAATAATTAGCAGGTTTTAAGACGGTGCAGTAAAGTCAGTCCTACCTCATGTGTCCTTCACAAACTAACATGTTTCTGTTAGATAACGTCTTGTTGTTATCTATAATTTAAAAAAAATAGGGCTTGAATAACTATAAATGTTTCCGTTTTGATGTTGACGCTGTTGTGTTTTCATATGTGAAAGAGCTTCTTGGTGTTTTATTAAAGTTAAGCTGGTGACATTTTACTGTTATTCAAGCCCTATTTTTTACTCCAGTTGCTGTGCTCTGGACGAAAACCTCAACAAGAAGCCGATGACGCGCAAACTGATGAGCTATTAATAATTAATGACATGCAGTGACCTTTTTTTGCTGCAAGGAGGTGCAGAGGACTCTGACCAGCATTAATAATTCTTATGATAGACTGACGAAAGACTCCTCTGTGGGAGTGGTGATGCCACGGTGGATAAGACACATCCCTTTGGTGTAGGAGATCTTGGTTTGATTCCCACTGCAACACATCCACCATTGGGGCCCTGACCAAGACACTTAACCCCTAGTTGTTCCAGAGGCGTGCAACCTCTGACATGTATAGCAATTTCAAGTCTTTTTGAACAAAAGTTAACTAATGAAGCTGTAATGTAATGATGTTGCTGATAATAAAAGGTGGGACAGCAAACAGGATATTCCATTATATAATATACCACATTTAAGATAAAACATTAAGAGAAGTTTTGATTTGAGTTTCCAAGAGTCTAATTTTAGCTTTACAAAAACTGTTTCTATCAATCGCAGTAAGTCAAAAATATGTATTGAATCTGCTGCAGATGTTAGAACAATCTTCTCTCTCCTCTGGCACATTTGCATTGTTCGTTATATTGAAAAAGACAAAATTCAGAAAGGTCTATTTCCAAAGCAATACAGAATGGTTTCTCTGAAAGACAGCTGGGTTGCAAATTAAGGGGAAAGTAAAATTTTAAGACTCCCAACAAGGAAAAGTTTCTGTTATCTGTCTATGGTGTTTGTTGTGCAACAAGCTAAATGGTGAATTAAAGCATCCAAACATATTTTGTTTAAAAAAAATGTACAAAGACATTATATTCAAGAGGTAAAGAGATGATGTAGGGTTCTAATAATCACCTGGGGTTTTATTTTTATTATTATCATTTGAATAGGTATTTAAATACAGATTATCATTTTGTAGATTTGTTATTTTGTAGCTGTATTATAGTGAATTATGGCATTTAGGGTATAAAGGGGTACGAGTAGATTTTAGGTTTTACTTCTTCCTACTCCTTTTGTACATTTTCTTTCCTTGTGTCTTTTACTTCAGTTAAGTTTTTGTTTGTTTTATGTTCAAAATAAAAACACCAATCAATCAATCAATCTATATTGTGAAAAAGAAAAACCTACTTTTTGAAGAGGTGTCGGTCTAGTGCGCCGTCAGAGGTCGTCTTCACGGTCACCTTCAGCATCTCCATACATTCTTTCAGCCGGGGGTCTCCTGTGCGAAGCCCTGTGGCTTTAAGAGCCTGTACAGAGAGAAGGGGACAGCAAATCAATAAAGCTACGAGCCGTAAACAGACTCCTGAAGAGTCAACAAATGCTGCTCAAGATTCAGCCAGGGAGAGATCTACAAGGAGGGATGCTGATTCACTGCCTACCTGCAGTTAAATCATCTACAACACTCACATTTGTCTATAAATCCTACAGTACAGGAAACTAATCATTTCAAACATAAATCCTCAGTGATCGTTCCTATTCTGAGGACTCACTGTGGTGAATTTGTGAGCGGGGATTTTTTCCTGGCCCTCTGCGATGGTGTAGAAGAGCAGGTCCTCCAGACTGGGCAGGATGCCCGCCTTTCTTCTCCTGCAGGAAAGAAAAAGAAAAACACGCAGGCAGAAAAGTGAGAAAGGTAACTCCACAGTGAGACCGGCTGTGGTGGGAACATGGAGGGGAACTGCAGCAGAGGGAGGAGAGAAAAGCTTTTTGACTGCAAGGAGAAGCAGTGAGTAATAACTGTGATACTGCACTGGAAAACACTTACACTGACCTTACAGCAGTAATATAACCTGTGGAAAAGACTTGTACCGTTTGTCCTTTCCATAAGCTAATATGCTGCCATAAGGCCACTGTAATGTTAACTGTTAATTGTCTGCTTTGCTAGAACACCAGCCAGAAATATGTTTAAAAAAGCCGACTAATATGTGAACTAACCGAACTACTCGCTACTTAGTTTTTAGACCCAGAATGACACCATGATTGTGAATTTTACATTTATTTATGCAGTTTTAGTTGGGGTAAATCCTTGGGACAGAAAGAAACTGACGCCGCCTTACAGTGAGGTGTCGGTGCAGTTCAGCAGAATAAAAGCACAATCTGTGATTTGTGATGACTGGGCCTTAACTGCAGCAGCTGTGATGTGGAAGCTCGCCAGAGCTCTTGGCAAATGTTGTTCAGTAGCTGGAAGCAGGCTGAGAAACGACCACCAGCCTCCCACTGAAGCAGTGAATAAGTTCACAGCGTCACCGGAGGCCTAATTATTTCTTCCAGAGCTGAAAGAGCGGGGAAAGCTGAACTACAAGCATCTCCACTCTCACTTGTCATGGCAGCCATTGACATTTGTTCTCTGCATAGCTTAGTTACAAGCACCACAACGTTCACAGGGAAGATTTTTAAACGTCTCAGCAGTGACACTCGACCCTGCACTTCTATAACGATATTTGTTTCATTTTGATTTGTGGTTAGCGGTATTTTCTAGCTAGCCATATCAGAACAAGCATAAAGGTTGGCTAATGCTGTTTTATTTTTTCAACATAGGTGTCACTCTGTCACTACAATAACTAAGTTCTGGTACAAATACAGAAGCTTTTTCACTATCTCAGTTTAGGGAATATAAATATGTTTTATCCCTTTTTACCATTTAACAAAGTATGCCAAAACTGCTGAAGTTTTCAGTATTAAATAAAAAATAAATAAATAATACCTTTGTTAACATGCGAAAGCCTCTTATTATGCACACTGGGCACTCTGCATGTGATTGTCATAATGTATTTAGGTTTCTATCAAGCAGCGAGCTGAACTGCTGCTTGCTAACTTTAATAATAAAACTCATATTTAAGCCATTCTTTTCCTACATTTCCTGCACCACTGAATGTGTTTATTATCCCCATTCTTTGTGCTGCTATAATCCTGTAACTTTTGTTCCCAATAACGATCACTGAATTGAATCCATTTTATTTTCAAAGTGTCTGATGAGTTTTATTGTCTCGGCCTGGCTGGTATTCTAAGCAGCGCTTCCACACCAATTCGTATCTGGGAGGAAAGTTAGTAGCGTGTCAGGAGGCAGACGGGACAACCGGCTCACAGCAGGCTCTCTGCTATGATTCATATCAACACCAAATTGGATTTGTGCAAAGCTCTGGGTGCCCAGGCGCACTCTGTCCTGCAATGCATTGTGGGACACTGGCCTGTATGCTAGGAGAGGATGTCTGAAGGTAAAGCTTAAGTTGGCAGGTGGCTCCTCGCAGCAGCAGCAGCCAGCCTGATATAAAGCTGACCCTTGGAGAGCAGAAATCTTACAGTTCGTCATCTCAGACTCAGCATTAACAGAGTTTCCTCTGGATTTATTCAGCGGCAGTGAGCTATCAGGAAACTGACATGACAACTGTAAAGAGCCGTATTAGCTATTTGACAAGGTTTTATACAAATTAGATTAATGTCAACAAAGCAACAGTAAATCTGGTCACTTTGTGATGCTTCAGTGCTAAATGATATGGGAGCATGCAGAACAGCAGTCAGCTGATTTTCCTTTCTCGTGTTCAAAGCAAGATATGCTTATTTGTATAATTTTCTAAATGTCAACAAATCCCACAAAAACACCATCTCTCAATAATGTCCTGTCTTGCACAGGACGGAACTTCCTGTCTGTGGCTCTCAGCTTGAAGCCCATTGGTTCCTGCTGTAGACATAAATCTTTAAAACACATCACAGTGTCAGTAATTTCCTAAAACAGCTTCTAGCGAACGTTATTTAAACAAAAAGGAAATGGAGAATTTGATGGGGACTATTTTCAGCGGCGGATGAATCCACATGTGGTGCAGGAGTGAGTGTTTGGGGCAGCAGGAACGTGAGTGTGGGCGTCAGAATAAACTACAGTGTCACCCAGTGCAACAGTGAGGCTCACTGATGAGTTTTAACTGATAATGGAGCTGTTAGTACAATCAGTTCATTGATAGTTTTGGTCTTTTTATGGGAACTGCTGACAGTAAGAAAAATATCTGAGTTTCTCCTTTAGTAAACAAGAACTTGGTTAAAACTAACTACTTTGGAGGAATCAACCATTTTTCTGGACCACGCTGCTGCAGAACAATACAGAGGAAAGCCTGGGACCAAGTCTTTGACCCGTCACTCATACATCATTATCTATACTGGCAGTTCCACTCACAGTCAGAAAAATGCAATTCCAGCCAAAGGTGCAACAACAACAGGAAACAAAATAAATTCTTGGCGGACCGAAACAGCCAATGTCTCGCCACCTTCACGCTGTTACTTTACTACTGAAACCATGTGGTGTTTTGGATGCCTTTTTAAGGATTAAATACTGTAAATCAGCTGTGCTAACTTTTATATCTTCTCATACATTTCTTAAACAAATATTCTGACTTCAAAGGTCATGACATGAGCTTTCTCCAAGTAACAATCTGAATTCCCAACTTTCCAACTCATGATTCTCGCTCTGGACAATGTTGTTGCATCCTTTCAGAAGCTGCCACTTTTTCATCGATTGTTGGTGTGATCTGAACTCATTAACGAAGGCCGATGATGCCTGCTGGTGAGGAGGGAATACACATCAGAGAGAGAGAGAGAGAGAATATGGAGGAAGGAGGGATGGAGGAGAGGTAGAAGGAAGGGGATTCAAGCGCAGCCACTGGGTGGGAAAGTGAGGTCATTTCAAGGTAAAAGCGGCTGTCGGCTTTCCGCAGAAAACCTCTACTTCTACTGGAAAACTAAAATAAAAAAACAAGCATACTTACAAATGCAAAGCAAGCAGATCAACAACAGGGAGAGAGGGAATAATATTGAATTAGTGACAGTGAAAATCACATTTATAGCACAGAATGAACACATCAGCAGCTCATCGCAACATGTAATACTGATAAGCAAACGCATACTGATTTTACTGTGACAAAAACATTTTATGTACACACAAGTTTAAAGGCTGGGTTTAAATATACACACAAATATGAATACTTGCATATTTCATTGCCGCAAGACAACCAGAAATGAATGAATGGAAAGCATTCAAACTGTAAATGTCTTGTAAATCAAATTATTTAAATCAATCAAAGAATCATAATATTTACCTGTCACACTGAATCAGAAATAATGGAGGGTTATCAAACAGTGTAACGCAACAATAAGCAACACTGGCACGTTACGTAGGCCTGTAAAATAAGTTATTATTATTATTATTTCGACTTGCTGCAATGACATTAAAATGAAAGATAATTAGTTAATGTCCAAACAGGAAACAAACTTAAATGCAGTGTCACTGGTAACTCATTTTAACCACCCAGTGTCTCAGACTTGTTATGGCAGAAAATTGTGTCCTCTTACATTTAATCTTTTATGTATGTTCTTTTACTGTTATTTTTATTATTATTATTATGTATTGTGTTTTATCCTTAACTCAATTACTTGCTCAGCCCCTCACCAGGAATATAATTTCCTCGACACCACTCACCCTAAATATTAGACTGTGTAATGTAATGCTTAGTTAATGAGGCCCGGGAGAGGCTGCACCTCTGGGAGTATCATCACCACCGGGTTAGAGGCGGCCACTAGAACATCTGGTCCAGAGTGGATCGTCTCATTAATCCACCTCAGCTGCTCTCATTAGCGCACTAGCTTCCCTCTCTGTATGGTTGTTAAAGGTCAACACGCCAAGTTCGTCCAGAAAGGTGAAAATAATTCGCTGTTGGATTGAGCTGCATGTGAAGGCTTTAATCTCCACCAGAGAGAAACTTGAGTTCATTTGTTTTTCTGCCTCCTGTCTCTAGTGCAGAACCACAGATTTATTCCTCCTCTGTGGCAGTAAACACAACACACAGGCCCACTGAACTGTGCTACGTTCACTGCCCTGCGGATATTTATAGCTGGCTGAGTTCTGCTCGAGGTTTCTACCTGTTAAAATCAAGATTTTCCTTGCCTTGTGTTTACTTAAGAAAAACGGTGGAAGTATAATCAGGAATATGTAAATTTCTGTTTACCAGCCATTCAAAGTTAATCAGCCCCCAGTTTAACAAAAGGTTTGCAGAGCTGCAGGATCAGAATATTTTCTTCCTGTATACTTCTCATGTGATCTACTTGAAAGCAGTTATGTCCACTGGACAAATCAATAGTTTTGATGTTATCTCCCTGTTGAAAACGCTGCGGCCGGAGCAGCACCCCAGTATAGCTGCTGGTCCTGAGGACAGTGACAGCTGAGCGGGTGTTGGTGTGGCATCAGTAGCACGTACCGACGTCTCCTGGCTGGTGTGACTTTGGGGTTTAAAACGTTAAAACTGCTGAAACAATCAGTCACTAAAAATGTAAAGCTATACAACAAACCTACTTTTGAAACAGATTATATTGCTAATCATTTTTATAGATGTCCCCTCGGCTTCATTTAACTGACACGCTGTTGTTGTTGTTTTTAGCTTTTTACCATTGCTTTTAATTAAATATTTACACAGTGAGAAATGAGTAGGTAGTTGAGTGAAAAGATAATGAGAGTGAGATTGAACAGAGTGAAGGAAGTGGTCTTAAATCTCGCGCCTGAGTGATTTGCAGGAACCTCTGTCCACCTGTAAACGTGCAGGTTGGTCCAGAGTGTAACTGGATCAAAGTGGCCTGCTGACAGACATGTCCTGGTTTCTCTGTAGTGTTCGAGGGTTTTTGGAGTTTCAGTGGACCCAAAGATTGCTATGGACCCGAGTACAGACTAGCTAGAGAGAGTAGATTCAGTGTACTTCTCTGTTTATTCTCTTTTCAGAATAATTGTAACTCAATTATTTGCTCAACCCCTCAGCCTGTTTTTATTTTCCATTTAACTCTTTTAACCCTGATTGCAAACTGCACTGTAACTTTTATTATATTTTAATGTGCATTTTTTCAATTTCCCTATGTTGCTTTTAAACTTTTTTATATTTCCCTGTTGCTTTTATGTTTTATGTAAAGCACTTTGAATTACCTTGTTGTTGAATTGTGCTATACAAATAAACTTGCCTTGCGTCTGGATAGAGCCGTCTGTACTATCTGCTGTATTTATTTGACCCGATCGATGGTGCTAGTTTCGCTGCCTCTGACAAATTGATGTGTGGTGGATGCAGACAGTAAAGCGGGAGTGTTGAGAGGCGGCGCTGCACAAATCAATCTGTGGAAGTGACTCATCTGATCCTGGAGGCCCTGACAACTGCTGGGCAGCGCGCCAACATCCAGGCTTTGGTACGAAAACTGTGGAAAAACGATGTGGGCGGGATAAGCTCCCCTGCGTTACAAACATTTTTAACCCCTCATTAGCTGGAGCACCACCTCAGGACCCTCACAACCATACTGGAGTCGAGGCGGAGGGCTGCGGGGCCCCTGGGACTCCAAAGCCCCCTTTCTTGGATATTAGATTTATCAGATTTATTCATGTTGTACAGGACTGGTTATTCTTATGTTTGGCCCCATAGCCTGGTGGGTGACCAGCGTTAGTGCTGTCACTAATGATTACAATCTTCTGTCCAATGGTAGTTTAGTCGATAAAAACAATATTCATGTACAATCTGTAACACTTTTCCCTGTGTGGGATCAGTAAAATGTATCTCATCATCAGGGGGGCAGAAAACAGTTATTTTCATTATCGATTCATTTGTCAGTTAAATGTCAGAAAATCACAATTTCCCAGTGACCAAAGTGACGTCATTAAATTACTTTCTTCGTCAAATCAACAGATCCAAATCCTCAATTAGAGGACTAATAACCATTCACTTAAACTATTATTTGATTTTCAAAATACTTTTTGAAGAGAGGATACAGCCTGGTATCACAGCTGCTTTGAATATTAAAAGGAATCTACTGTATGCAGCCTTAATATAAATTTAAAAATAGTCCATAAAATCCAAAGATATTCAATTTACTGATATAAAACAGAGAAAAGCGGCAAATCCTCACATTTAAGTCTCTATAATTGGATGATAATTGCCATATGTGCTTTTCAAACCTACCAGCTACCCAGCCTCCACAGTGCTTCACCGTGCATGGAGCTAAATCTAAATGCAGCCTGTTGATGATTTCTCAAACACTAATCTTGACTGTGGATGTTAAGTGGAAACTGAAATTAGCCTCCAGGGGAAACAAGATGTTGCCGACGACCAGCCAGATGAGCGTAGTGACTGCCTGAACATGGCCGACAGCTTAAGCAAATTGTCCGTGAATGGAAACAAATGGGACAACGTCGGCCTACAGGGGCAATGAGGCATTTTATTACCATGAAGCTACCCGAATGGAGGATACAGAGTGGTGTGGTGGCTGGTGTCGCAGCTGCTCTGAATGTTTAAGGCAAGAAAAAATCTTAACCACAGACACTAACATCTTCATTTCAGCTTATTTCTTGAAATAAATACCTGTTAGTATTTTTATTCTATCTCTCGATTCTCTGTGCTTCAACAGCTAAAGGTAATATTAAAATATCACCAAACACTGCTTATTAAATGTCAGAAATCTGGCTTCATCCGTGAGCAAAGTCCAACAGAGTCGGATTTGTTGAATATCTGGGTTGAGGAAGATGAAGCACGTCTTCAGTGACAAGCAGAGGGAAAGAGGAAGCACTGTATCACGATCCAGCCAGATTTACATCTAATTAAAATGACAGACACATCAGACTGGATGCTGCCAGCATACAAATGCAACCATAGACCAGCCAGGGCCAATGAAACTATCTGTAGTACCTGTCAGTGAGGTCTTGAGATTCTTACAACCGAAACTGTTTTTGGTTTCAGCTTCTCAAATCTAAGAATTTGCTGCTTGTAATCTGAAATCATAGTAAACAGGATATTTGGGTTTTTTTTGGTAAAATAAGCAACCTCACCATATTTGAGAGGCCATATTTGGCTCTGACAAACTATAAAAGGGCATTATTTGTTATTTTCTGACATTTTATTGAAAAGAAAATAGTCTGCAGATTAATTGATTATTTAAATAATAGAAAATATCAGCCTCAACTATTGTATCAATAATAAATAATAAAAACCAACTAGTACAGGATCATGTTATCAGTTTGTTTTTGCAGAATATTTCTACAGCTGTATTGATTGACTACTTGTTTTAGTCATAGTCAAATTCCTAAATAATACTGTGTATGTTTTGTAAAGCATGTAATCACAAATGTGTTTTGTGATTGCTAGCTAGAAATTTGGGTTCTAGTAACATCAAATCCCAGGGTTTTGAAGTCAGCCTCTTCAGAATCAAAGAGCAACCAACATTTAACAATCACAGCACGAGAAATCTGTCACAGAAAATTAATATTTTCTACACTCTAGGAGGCAAACCAGCTATACTGCGATTGTTTGAGTGGTGCACGTCCTTCTGGGAAATGTATAAGGTTACTAATACTTCAAGTATAAAACATGATGCAGCACTTTCCTGTTACAGGCAGCATGCTGTGCAAAGATTCACCACACCACAAAAAATCATCATGGATCACTATCTTAATCGATGTCAGTGGGTTTTAAGTGGAATCAGGGAGGCCTTATCAAGCTGTGGTGGTGATGTTGTTTTGGGACATTGAATGCTTTTAACATGCATCTGATCTATTATCAAGAGGACTCCTCTTCCTCACTTTGCTGTCAGCACTACCCCCTGTTGAAAAAGCACCTCTGTCAGGCTAATTACGACCTCACCTGCTAAACTAACACTGCAAATAATCACAGATAAAGACAATTGGACAATTAAATGTCCATAATGGTCTCTAACTCATTCTACTTCTTTGCAAGGTCATCCTCAGACGTGTGTTTGAGTTTTTATAGCTGACTATTACCTGATTGTATATTGGATACTTGAATAACTAAATAATGGATTTACATTAAAATACAACTTACAGGTCCCAGCCTTACAAATGCAGTTTCTTTGTGTCATTATGAATGGAAATTTGTAGGTTTGTGGGGGCGGTTTATAAGACTTGGTGAATAAAAAGGGGCCTCTGGATGTGCAATTTGTCACGTTATGCCTTTAATAACTACTGATCAATACATTCCTGGGTTCAGTGATGACTGACCTTCATTAGACATTGAGTTGAAGCTTGGACTGTCTGCATGATGAGTTAAACATGCAGATTTTATTTGTTGTGGTTACGTTGTGGTAGAGCTAATGCCTCAGTGAGTTTAACATGCAGGGCTGTAAATGAAAGGTTCTGACTGCTGGTGGTCACGACATCTAGCTGGCTGCACGCTAGCAATGATTTCAGCTTCTTTTGCATGTAAGTTTGATCAGATCTCATCCAGTTACCGTTACTCGGCTTAGCCCCGGTTGCTAACTGCCCGGTACGCATGGAGCTGACCCCAGCGGGTGGGCGTAGTGTCACTGGAACCTTCTGGCTGTCCTTCCCCTCCACTACAGCCCTAACAAGCCTAGTTAGCTGCTTAAAAATCACCCTATAGCCTTGGCTACCCATTAGCTGCCTACCTAATTCGTCAACATCAGAGCTAGCTTACCCCTTTGGGCGGTGCGCTTGTACGACTCTTAATTCTGAACTACGTTGTAATGATATGCTAGTTAAAATAGACTTGTAAATAGGCTTCCTGTAAATGAAAGATGCACAAAACAAACCGAGACAGGTTTTATAATGAGCCGTTCTTTTATTCGGCATTTATTCTCTAAGGAAATATACACTTATTTCATTAAAAAGAAACTTCAAGGAGTCTTCCATCACGGATTATCGCTACGTTAAATTGCGATTTTTTTTCTATGAAGTTCGGCCTACTCTGGAGCTAGCATCTGCTCACATAACCCGGGTTAACGTTACTCACTTCTCTGCTGAAGAGTCCTTGGCGGCTTCACTGTGGCTATCCCCCTTGGAGCAAAAGCCTCTCACGCCGTGCCTTCTCCACCCGGCAAACGCCCTCCATCTGCCCGGTGACCTCCCATCCAAACTGACGGTGCTGAAGCAGGCGGGGGTCGCAGGTGCCGCTTTAACGCCAACTCTAACGTTACCTGCCAACGGACGCTTGAGCTGGGTCTGAAATAACTCCTTCAGCGCTACCGTTGACCGAAAATGTAACATTTCAATCCCGGTCGAGAAGAGGATCTGGATGGTGTAACTACTTTAAGGACGAGTGAAGAAATCTGGAGAATTGAAGGGTTCAATTCCCAAAGAGCGAGTCGGTTTTCTCGGTCGAGTAACGGTTTACCCGGTGACTCAACGGCAGGCAATGTTCCTCAGTGCAATACAACCGGATACAACCTATCCTTCACGCCGCAAGAGCTTTGATTGGAGTACGATAACGCTTATCAACACCTGATTGGCCGAGAGGGCTGTCAATCATAAGAACTGTCTCACCCACACCGGTCGTGGTTTTTCATCATTTATCGCTTTCGACCGTCGGTGAATGTTTTATGGCTGAATATATACTTACTTTTATACTGTTTTAAGTACAGTTTCCCTCTTTATAACAGTTTATGCAAGACACACAAAAAACAAAAGCAACCATATATAAAGTTTAGAGAGGAAACGTCATAGCAGCAAAACTACAATGATCAGAAAATGCAGTAAAATACAAAGATAACCACGTGTCCTCTTGTTTAGGTGTTACGGCAGTAAAATCCCACTTTAAAATTCCCTAAAAGTTGAATTGTATGCTTTTACTTTACCTTTACCTGACTTTGTTTTATTTGTTCAGTTTAATTTAGCAGGGACAGTGCACATAAATGAAACATTGGAGTAAATGCGCAAAAAGTTTTTGAGCTATTTTTCATCTGTAGTCCCTGGACAGTTGTTCCATAAAACCTTAAGAAACCTTTTTTTTTTTTTTTTTAAACTAAATGAATTCAACAATCATTTAAAATTAAGTCGTACATTTTGAAAGAGTGCAACAAAATTAGATAAAAGACTATATTATTCCAGACATTATTCCAGAAATAGGTTAGGTTAACTTTATTGTTCCAGAGGGGAAATTCTGCTTGGGCACAGTGCAATGTTGCTTCATAAACATCAACAAGAACCTGAGAAGCATTGACATGTTGTACTTCACAAGAGGAAAATTTAAACACAGAAGAAAATTTGTTGACAACATAGTTCCAAGGATTAAAGTGCAAGTGCTAAAGTGCTAGTGTGGTTGTTTTGCCCCATTGAACTTTGAACTTTGTGCAAAATGCATATGCTTAGGTGCTAGTATGTTTATTGCACGTTGCCCTATTGCACCAAGATCACAAGTAAAGTGCTGCAGTGCTCACATATTTATTGCACACAGCACTAAATACTTCTTCCTGCACTTCAAGTACTTTAAAAAAAATATGCAACATGTAACCTAAAGTTCATAATAAGAGTACTTCATGCACACTGTGCGTTAAGTTCCTAAATTACTATTATAGCCAACATGTGTGCTTCTCAGTAAGGTAAAACTTTAGCTCAGTGTGAGACAAGTCAAATGGGCAGATTTCAGGGTATTTCTACTTTATATATTTATTTTTCCTACTGTGTATCTATTTTTCTTCTTATTCCAACTATAAGTAAGTAATCATGTAGGCTAGGGTACAGGCACAATCCTACAGTTAGTTTAGATGGATATTTATGGTTTGATGTCTTGTCTTGGTCTGACACCATGTGAATTATTCTGGTATTGCAACATAAAGCGGTTTCCTCAGCAGATTGTGGTCTCTGTCTTTAACAAAAACAGCTACAGCACCATCTCCTGGTTGGAAATTAGATTAGATTAGTGACACAGGCAACAGCAACATCCTGATAAACCAATAACTGATTACAAAAAGAATCCTAGCCCTGTAAAAAGTTATAAGTCAGTACGTTTAGATATAATGTTGGTCTTTTTGTTGTATTACATGTGTGCAGCTTTATTTATCTCTTTAGATATATTTCTGTGTGCACAGTGTGCAGAAAACTTAACATAATGAGTCTAGATTTAATTTTTTATTATATGCTACTTTTAAATTGACACATTTTGCATACACGTTTTCAAATAAATGCCATGACTTGTGTCTTAGTCTGGTTAAATTCCTGTATTAGACCTGAGTCAGACAGCGTTTTAATGTTAGTTTTGACCTCTTTTGCAGCCTGGGTGGGTGGAGTTTGACACTTAGCATAAAATAATGACCTATAAAAGAGATTACTCACTGGAAAGTTGCTTCAGTTTACTTTTCTGTGGCTCCCAACTTTTATCTTACTTTATCTGAGTTTCGGCCCACTTGCAGCTCCAAATAGGATAAAACAAATAAATTCATGCTGACTAATAATGCCTCACATGGAATGTGAAACATTCATGAATTTGGACTAATGCACTGGAAGTAACCAGAACGCTGTGGCTCATATTTCTATGTAATCGGCTGTAGAATTAAAGGGGAATTCCAACAAATACTTTTACAGTAATCCACACAATGAGTCCTGGGCTTCAAACGCAACCTAACCTAGCTTATCAGAAGGGTTGTTGTAGTATGTGAACAAAGCATGTGGTAAAGAATTAGTTCTCCCATTTTGGTGTGGAAGATCTTGACTAGTCTGCTACAGAGCCCTGACGTCAACCCCATCCAACACCTTTGGGATGAACCTCTTAATGCGATGTGGTGTTTCTTTAGGTTTTTGTTCAGTTGGTTTTGTATGCAAACACACTATGCGGTCTAAAGTATGTTTTAAGCTAAAGCTCTTACTTCATGCAGTGATATTTAGACCACTTTGTCTTTGTACGGTCCATAAAGAAACTGTTTTACCACTTTGGTGTGGAAGAACTTGACCTCAACCCCATGCAAGCCAGACCTGCATCCTCAAACATCAGTATTGGACCACACTAACACTGTTGAGGCTGAATGGGAGCCGATTTCTCTTTAGCAATGTGGGAAACGTAAGTAAATTTTTTGATTCAGACCTCAAGTTTGCTAAATATATCAGCAATGTTGGTAATGTTTTAATCATCTAAAATATATATCCAAGATTGCATCTATCCTAGATAACCATTATCGTCTTATTAGTTGCTTCTTAAAACACATTTCTTTCTGGCTTCTGTCTGGTGATTCTAATCATGTATCTTTGTTTAGTGTAAGGGACTTTGTAACAGTGGTTCTGAATGTGGGTATAATTTTGTTTTCGGTTTCCACATACCATGGCCATGTCATGTATCTGACAGCATAACAAGCTTGATAACAAGTAAATTAGCAGGAGCCTTGTTTATGTAAGCATAACATTTCTCCGCAATTGGGAGCTTCTAAAAATAAGACAATCTGTCAGATTCAATCTGCAATTAAAAAAATGAGTGAGTACTGTACTTTGGGCTTCAGTGCATGCATTATGTGCATTATTGTTAATGGGTTTCTGGTGCGGTCATGTCTACGTCCATGAAAACCTGTGAAAGTCTGGAGCCAGGTACACCCTGGACAGGTCGCCAGTCCAAGGACAATTTAGGGTCACCCATTAACCTAGTCCGCATGTCTTTGGATGGTGGGAGGCAGCCGGAGCACCCGGAGAGAACCCACGCAGACACGGGGGAGAACATCCAAACTCCACACTGAAAGGCCGGGGCAACCGGGGTTTGAACCCACGACCTTCTTGCTTTTCATAGCTTGTTTTACTTTATTGTATTTGTGCTAGATTGATTTTTTTGGTACATTCATAACATGTCAAATAAAATCATGTGAAATAATTAACTTACAATCTTTTCAGCCAAAGCTGTGATTATATTGATATTTACTTGACCCCTGAAGGCCAGCAAAGTTCATACCATGGAAGAAAATAGAAATACTTTTGCACGCTGATTTTCAGTTTCAAATGGATGGTGATGTCCATATCCATCTTATCCTTGTTCAATTTAAATAAGGCTTTTCTTTTTAGTTATGTTCTCCCTTGACTTGCAATGCTTTTTATCTCCTGTCTTGAGGAAAACTGGAGTGAAAACCGCCACGGCAGCTTTCAAAGTTACATTTTGCTCAGAAATCCCCCACGAGCAGCTGCATTATCACTGCATGCAGCAATAAACCCGAAAACAAAGGAAGGAAGGAAGGAAGGAAGGGAGACAAACAAGGCGATCCCTAACGAAGCTGCAGGGAGGAGAGGCGATAATTCACCAACACCCACACCTTCTCAAAAGCAGTCAGCTTCCTGCTCCTTTCAAAATGAGGGTGATGGGTGCGCTCGGCAGATCCCTCCCACGCTGCTTAGCGGCTGGCTTCCGCCCACCGCCTGTGGAGCCGCCTACCTCCAGCCGTTGCCAAGGCAACACATCATCATCAGTGACTTGCACTGGAGGAGGAGGTGGAGGAGGAGGATAGCGAGGGGAGGGGTGAGCAGGGCTGCCACTGTGAACAGCAACCAGCATGGGTGTTCATGAGCCGAGCTAGTCTCCAGAGAAAATCTGTCTACGTATGTGTGTGTGTGTGTGTGTGTGTGTGTGTGTGAGAAGTGGGTGAGCGAGGGAGGGTGGGAGAGGATGATGGGAGGCATGTGAAAAAGACCTGCGTCAGAGTGAGTCATCAGCCGGTTTCACAATGTGTTGATGTGACGCTGATGCAAATGGCCTGGCCAGGGATTCATCTCAGTACAACAACAACAACAAAGAAAGAAATAAAGAAAGAAAGACAGAAAGAAAGAAGGTAACAAACTGAAGACAGAGAGGCTCCTTTACAGGAAGCTGAACTGTCCTTTGAGTGTTTCAGGCCAGTACTGCCTGGGTCTCTTCTTACCGGTCTTTGCTTGGGAAGGATTACCAAGCACTTTTGCTCTTTATGCAGCCTGCTTTGCATTCACACACACACACACACACACTGATGCTGGGAAACGCCGAGGGTTTCCCTGCCTTGCTCAAAGACACTTTCAAAGTAATTGCTGGAGGGTGAGTGTTCCCAAACAGCTCAGATTTTCCAGCAAGAAACTCCCCCGGCTCCTCCCTGTAGTGGGAAGCTAATATATAATCTACCAAAACATTGTTATCACTACATTATAGTGTCACAACGACCATAACCTATTATCACCACATTTTGTCACTGAACTTGATGTTCAGACTTGAGCTGCTAAAGCTCTGTCTGGTGTGTGTGCTAGCACGGCAAGGAGTGTACAACGAGCAGCTG